TATTTTCTTGATCAGGGCGATGAGCTGAGTCGATTAAATCTTGTCCGTCCATCCGTATTTATGAACGTGTCGATCTCAGAAGACATAAGTTTAGTATTTAATATTTAATAATTTAGTATTAACCAAACTTCAACTTTTAGTGGAAGCTAACTGAAAAATAGTTGGACAAATAGAACAGAAGACATATCAAATCTAGGCAACAATACTAAAGGAAGCAGCAGCGCCAAAAGCGATGATAGTGCAACAAAAAAGAAAGCTCTAATCGAGACTGCACGACTACGAGGTCCCCTTAGCCCTTCGAGGAACTGATATTTCAATATTTCATCGCTTATTTTCTGCTTACACAGAGACAAAGCAGTGGTCGAGCAGTCTCTACTAGATCACTCTTACTGGTTTATTGCTCTGCTACCTTAGCATATATTACAAAACAAAGCAAAATACATTTTGATCATGTATATCGGGGCTGCTCAGACTCGTTTGTTTTGCTCTCGTTGATTGGAAATCTTTGCATTTTCCTATTGAACTCTGCATTGAGCTGTCGTATCATGCTCTATCGCTCTGGGTCAGACATCAGAGTCCATTGGGCGCCATCCCTTTCAGTGGTTCATTTGGAATTTAGTGGGCGCTTAAAATTATGCAACACTTTGGCTCGCCGTCCGTCGTTTCGTCCGTCCGCTGAGCGAATTTATGTGGCTCGCCGTTTCACTCAATTGCCGAACGTATTTAGAGAAGAGAAAACGCGCTCAATTACATTTCACTTTCCAAGGGAAGGCCGCAGCATCGCTGTGCGCACACACATGTGTGCTCGTTGGCATATGTGTACGTATGCGTATGCGCTCGTTTATGTGGGTGTGTGCGTTTGTTTGTGTACAGCCCACCGCCCTTTGCGCCCGCCCTTGTTGCCTTTTGCCACATGTTTTATGGATTATACAATGTATGGCGCGAGTGTGTGTGTGCGTGTGCATGTGTGTGCCAGTGTGTGCCTGTGTGTGTGTGTGTACCCGCAACACATTCTGTTTGTGAAAGAGGCGCGTTTTGTAGTTTTCCAGCAACAATCGCTGCTCGAATAGGGGGACGACAGGCACTCGGTGAATTCGTTCCACTGTGGCCCTCGTTCGTTCAATTGAAGAGATATATGTGGCGGGCGATCGGGCGAGCATATTTCAGTTGCGATCTGGCAGGGGCGCAGTTACAGTTAGAGTTGCGTGCGGATCGGAGAGTGTACCGTTGGCTCAGCGTGCAACAATTATAATGAACCCAGCAATATTCTGCATAAACTGTACATAAACTGCGTATACTTGTTTTTAATACAATAGAATTTTTCTATCTGTCGCGCGGCAATGCAGTGTTTGTTGTTAAATGTTTCTGTTGCTGTTGCTGTTGCYGTTAGAGCCGAGTCAAGTGTGCTTGCAGTTCTATTATTTTTAAATTCTAAAATGCTAGAGAAAGAATTTCTGGAATTTTAAGTGGAACGCTAAAAGCGCAGAATAAATATCATTCAAATATCAAAGCGGAAAATAGTTTGTGTTGCACAAGCAGATTTACATTGGATTATATATACTACTCTATATACATATTGGATATATCGGATTGGCAGCGACACCTAGGCAAAGGTAAGTTGTTCAGTTTACCATGTGAAACGTTGATTTAAAATAGATTCTTTCCCTCTTGTTCTCTTGATCTTCTTCCAATTGCTCGCATTTCCCTTGCGTAATTGCGCGAATGATTTGTTTAGACCACTTTTTGATTGACCACGCAGCGCAGCAATTTGACTTTTTAACCCGCTCTTGCTTGTTTTATTTTTTCTCTTTTTTCGTATTGTCTCTCGGTTTTGTTGTGGGGTAAACAAATGGCACAGCTATTGTGCCTAGGCCAATTTGTGCTGTTGATTTTATTTGAGTGCGAGTCGCAGCCAGTCGATCGTTCAATTATCAAAACTGTTTCTAATGCCCCTCCGCTCAGCCCATTGGGGCACTGTAGCGCAGCTGCCCCCATTTACGGCACATGCCACACATTTTATGCTTTATGGGCAGAATGAAAGCAGCTCGTTCCTCTACAGTAGTCGCTGGCAGGGGAGAAGCAGTCAGCAAATTATTGCTAATTAAATTTGTGAAAACAATAACAATTTACTATAATAGTTAATCATTTTAAATTTCATTTAAAATGTATTCAATAAGCTGAGTGAAAGTCGCTCTACAGTAGTCAGTATAGTAGGCAGAGGATCAATAAAAAGATCATAAATATTAATTTTAATATAATTTTTGTGAATGAAATCGCACATTAAACAAAGCCAAAAATCAGTATATTATGTTTCATATTTTGTACAAAGTTTTTGTAAACATAATTAATGGAATATTTGAGTTTTTTCTAGAACTCGAGGATCCCTGTCGAGCAGCGCTCTCTGTATTATAACTAACCGTCTATTGCTTTTAATTTTTTCCCATGAATTTTTCGAGTTCATTTCGTTCTCCAACAGCGCGTGTGTTTATCAACACGTACGTACGTATATAAGTTCATATATTTATATATATGAATATCGAAACTATACTACAGATATGAACATGCAATATTTTCCCGCCGCATAAACAAACATTCTAAATGATCTGGCTGTCCGTAGTAAATGGGTAATATGGCTATTGTGGATATACACATACTCACACAGACCCACACACACTCACACATACATCTGTCTGTTGGGGCAGCTTCTGTGCTTTGGCTTTGGCTTCTGTTTTGTTGGCTTTGGCGGGCATTCGCTCAGTTGTTGTTGTTGTTGTTTTAGTTCTGTGTAGATCGTTACAGATGCGTTTGCTCAGCTATTTGAAGAGCTGCTGTACTACATTGTTTAGCCACTTACGGGGTATACCCAGCACACACTCACTCATTCATTCGTTCACTCACTCACTCATTCACTCTCTCACTCTCTCACTCGCTCACTCGCCCACCTGAGCCAGTTAATAACCTTCGCATTTCGCACGTATTCGCTTGCAACGAGCCGTGGCGCATTGCAAACTCGTGCCATTTGCTGTTGATATGTGAAAAGCATTCGCCTGTTAGCTGTGAAATATTTAAAATTGATTTAAACCTGGGCAAATTTGCTGGCCAAACAGCAATTGGCATTCCTTCGCGCTTCTCTCTGTGCTACTCTGTTTGGCTATTCGCTAAATATTGCCAATCTGATGTGAGTTTATTTTCGTACGGGGCAGGAAATATATTACCTACGAGTCGAGTAGTGTGCGGTACGAAGGTCAGATGCTTTTATTTTCGGCACGGGAAACTCGCGTCGGGCTATCCTCTGCAGACGCTGCTTCCCCAGTTGCTACTGAGTGTTTTCTCCCAGTGCAGCACAGACGCGCTGCATGCAACACATGCAACACATGTGGGCTACACTGTAGGTAGGCAAAGGCCCAGAGTGTCCCCTGTTTCCAAATGATCTTCATGTTTCTGTTGCTGTTGCTATTGATGATGATGATGCCGATGCTGATGCTGATGCGTCCACATGTCAGACAGGGCGCGACAATGCGCGACTGCTGCTGCGGCTGCTGCGGCTGCTACGGCGAAACCCTCCGATTCGGAATGACAACAATAGCTCACCAAATGTGCCTGGAAACAATATTTTCCCTTGTCTTGAAGGGGTACGCCAAAAACGTTGTCCCGGTCCGGTTTGAAAGGGGCACGAGCGACTGCCAGCCAGCGGGAGGGGGCGGGGAAGACAACTATAAACATACATTGTATACCCTGTACACTTAGTTCGAGTGCGATGCCTTGCTTTCTTATTTATATGACATTAGCTTTATGAGCTTGGACTTATCCTACAATACCCTAAAAACCGCGATTTATAGAGAAATAGAGTGATGTGAAAGGAGAGTGGAAATTTTGAATACCTACCTTTTATTTCTAAAGCCAGTTCTTGACATTATTTCTAATATTCTTAATGTATTATGCGAATAATTATTGACCTTTATTAAAATATAAAGATGTATTATATAAGTATAATCCTGCCTCGTCAATAATGTCGCAGTATACAAAGGAAAACCAATAAGAATGCTGTACTTAAGTTAGGGGCCATCCTTTTCCTCTCGAAGTCCTAACGACAAGACTCAAGTACAGTGCTCCAAATGCATATTCACTCATTGAGATTGTTTGGCTTAGTGTCAAGTATGCACTTTTAAGTGTTCTTCTTTTAAGGAGCATAAGAGTTCTGTGATCCCAATCTTATAAATATACCTTATATAGCACAGACTCTGACTGAATGAGAAGGTGGTAGCACAGGGTATCTCTTAGTCGTATACACGCCTTGTTGATTGCTTGTTTTTAATTTCTTTTAATTTTTGTTACCGCTGTGGAACAGATGTGGGCTGCATGAGGCAGAGGCACATTGAGAGCGTCTGTTTCTGTTTTAATTAAGCGAGAGTGAATATCAGAGAGAAAGAGAGAGATAGGGAGAGAGAGCGACAGAGAGAGGGAGAGTGAGTGGGACACACTGAGAGAAGAAGAGAGAGTGAGAAAGAGTGCATCGACACGCATATGTGAAAAATTAAGGCTATCTGCTGAAAGCGAAAAGCGAAAAGGCGCAAAAGATGCGGGAAGCAGCGCCGGCAACGGCAGCAGCGACGCCAGCGTCGGCAGCGATCGACAAACAGAGCGACATTTGTACGCCCAGGCGGGATAAATGCCGAACTGAATGTTCTCTGCGACAGCCACAAACATTGAATGGAATTGAATTGAACAGAGCCGAAACAAACACAACAACAACAGCAACAACAGCAACAATATAATATAACTGTAGAAGCAGGGCCCACTAAATTGAGTCGTTCGTGGCGCAGTCGCTGTCGCAGTCGCCGTCGCCGTCGCCGTCGCCGCTGCTGTCGCCTTCGCAGTTGCCCTGAGTAGGACGCGAGCAGTAGTTGCTTTTTTTTTGTATTTTTTTTTTTTTTTTATTTAGTATACATGTATTTATTTTGCTTCTGAGCGTAGGAGCCGCAGCCTCTGTCTGGCCTCTGGCAGCGACCACGACGTACTACAAAAAAATCTTCTCTGCTGCATTTAGAACAGTTTTCGACGGGAGCTGTGGAAATTCACAACGAATCGCGCGCGCTAAAGATCGGAGAATCACGCAAAAAAAAAATATATATATATATATACATACATATATCGCACCCTCTCAACGTCATATAGACAAGTGCCACTGTTCTATGTTACGCTGTATCTGTGTCTATATCTGTGTATATGTAGCTGAATGTGTATTTGTGTGCTGTGCAAAAAATAGAACATTATCTAAATGAACTACATGCAGCTGTAGCCGTAGCCGTAGCCATAGCCGTAGCTGTAGCTGCTGCTGCTGTACCGTGTACTTGTAGGTAATCAACGTCCCTCAGTTCCTGTACCGCATTCACATATATACATATGTAGACATATTTATATAAAATGCGTAGATATATTTAATAGTATGTGCCACGCCTTTAGTTAACTTATTTTGTGGCATATGGAAAAGAGGAAAACGAGAAAAACTATTTTGCATTTGCTGCGGGCTTCAAAAAGCCGTTGCAAACAGTTCCATTTTAATGGAAGCCATAAAAGTGCAGCATCGAATCTAACATTTGATTGTGCTCACACACACACAGACACACACATGGTTTTATATACTTAGCTCGTAAAGCTATTTTAAAAGTAATAATTTATTATTGTTTTTTTTTTTTTTTCTTTCCGATTTATATGTTGTATATATTGTAACTGCGTGGATATTGGCAAGTGAGCTCATTTCTCGCTTTATTGGGCCTCCAATTTGCATGGCACGCGCTGAGACAAAAGCAAGAAGAAGAGGGAAATAAACTGAGCGGAAATGTCCGCGACATTTTAATTAAGCCCTGCCTTGCCAAAATTGAAATGGCTTTTAATCAGAGCTTGAGAGCATTCAGAAGAAATCTCAGTGAAATTAAATGGCAGAAAGATTAAATATGTTCGCAGAAACATTCCAAATCTGAGGCGCAAAACATTTGAAATGTTTATAAACAGAAAAGAAGAACGATCATCAGTTTTCCGTTTTTGTGAGAAAAGCACGTTGTTTATTGCAAAAAATAAAAATAAATAGAATTGAGGAAAAGCGAAATTTTACAATGAACTCAATATATGGTCATTTTCGGGCAGACAAAACATCCGGTGGGATGTTCCATTCACAATTTATGTAAGTGAAAAGTAGGAAATTGGCATTTGCCCGGAACAACTACTGTTCACAGTAGTTTGTTTTCCCCACTCTGTTTTTTTATCTCCTTTCTGTCTTCTAGTATAAATCTGTCTCTGACCCTTTAAAAAATATGAGAATATTGAGCCAAGTGCTGCACTTGCGGTTTCTTGGGGTGTTCTTCCTGTTCTCGACGATCCCCTTTATAGCTATAGTGATCAAGAAATGGATTTCCCCTACTCGAAACGGAAATGCGCATAAATCTAATCGTTTGCGTTTCTTTCAGGTATTGCAGCTATTTCCTTCTGACATTGCTATGTGATCTATAAGTCGCGCCACGCCCACCAACTTTATCAGAGTGAGATGTCGCCGGCATGGCTGCCATAAATCCATCAACGCACTGAATAAATCACACAGCGCCCGAGCGAGCGACAGTAATTAAGAGACCCATGAGTACATACACATGTCTATTTTGGGGAAGTGTATTTCCGTTACATTGCAAGGTGATCATCGACAATCAGCATCCGATTCCGATTCCGATTCCGACTCGGATTCCTGTTCCCGATTCTGATCGCAGAGCACTTCAAAGTCGCCGCGTCTGAGCGCACACATGTTGCTGGCGATCAAGTTGAGCCAGCGGCAACTGTTGTTATTTCCATCATAAATTAGAAAAAAATCTAGACGAGAGATCACTGATCTGTGCGAGGGTGGCAAGAGAGACAGATAAACACAGAGAGTGAGAGAGAGTGAGAGTGAGCCATCTCTCAGCTAAAGTGGATTTCCGGTGAATACAGCAGCAACAAGAAGCATCAACAACACTCGCTACACAGAGTTGTTGCATTGAAGTCAACTCAACCCCATTTGGAGTCAAGGAGCGAGTGGGGGAGTCGCAGTTACCAAAACCATTAATATATACCTTCTTCTCTGCATTGATGTCTGTCAGTTGCTGGCGACGCGTTGCCAGCATTAGAAGCAGCCAAAGCATGTCCATCAGCCTGATCTGCCTCCTGCTGCTGTGCAGCTCGCTTGCGACGGCGCGGCGAGCGCCTGCAGCCAGCTCGCAGGAGCTGAGCAGGGACTATGATGTGCCGCAGGGCAATGTGAACAACGACACGGCGCGCACACAGAGCAATGTCAATGCAGAGGAGGACGAGGATGCGGATGAGGACGAGAAGGTGGGCACGAGTGGCTCGAGCACCGGCTCAGCTGCCAGCCCGGATGGCAAACAGCAGTTCGCGCCGCGCTTCAAGAACCCCAAGAAGATGAGCACCCTTTACCCGCTGCCCTCGGGCTCAACGCTCTCGCTGAGCTGCCAGGCCGTGGGCAATCCGGAGCCGAACATCACGTGGTACAGGAACGACAGCAACGACCTGACGCGCACCTACGGCAACTACCGCAAGACCAAGTGGCACATCATTATGGAGGACTTGGTGCCCGAGGACTCGGGTCGGTACACGTGCGTGGTGTGCAATCCCCTGGGCTGTCTCACCCACGTGATGAACGTGATGGTCAGGGACCGGGTGAACCACAAGCCCATCCTGCTCAAGGGGCCCGCAAATCTCACGCTCCTGATCAACAAGAGCGGCCACATGGAGTGCGAGTATCTATCGGACCTGACTAGCCGCAAGGCCTGGCTTTTCCAGCCCTGCAAGAGCGTGAACGACTGCTCCAAGAACCGCACGGTCCTGGCCGAGGACGTGGACAAGCTGAACTTCGTGAACGTGACGCAGGAGGMGGAGGGCTGGTACACCTGCGTCGAGAGCAACAGCCTGGGCCAGTCCACGAGCCAAGCCTACTTGCGGGTAGTGCGCAGTCTGCAGCTGCTAGAGGCGAACCTGGGCAGCGCGCTGACCGACAACCACATGCTGGCCGTGTTCATCTCGGTGACCCTGATGCTGATCATAATTTGCATCATCTTTGTGGCCTATGCGGTGCGGAAGATGAAGCACGAGAAGCTGCTCAAGCAGCGCATCGAGACGGTGCATCAGTGGACCAAGAAGGTGATCATCTACAAGCCGGCTAGCGGAGGCGACTCGAGCGGCTCCATGGACACCATGATAATGCCAGTGGTGCGCATAGAGAAGCAGCGCACCACCGTGCTCCAAAGCGGCAACGAGCCGGCGCCCTTCAACGAGTACGAGTTCCCGCTGGACTCCAATTGGGAGCTACCGCGCAGCCAGCTGGTGCTGGGCGCGACGCTGGGAGAGGGCGCCTTCGGCCGCGTGGTAATGGCCGAGGTGAACAACGCCATTGTGGCCGTAAAGATGGTGAAGGAGGGCCACACGGACGACGACATCGCCAGCCTGGTGCGCGAAATGGAGGTCATGAAGATCATCGGCCGGCACATCAATATAATCAATCTGCTCGGCTGCTGCAGCCAGAACGGCCCGCTCTACGTGATCGTCGAGTACGCCCCGCATGGCAACCTGAAGGACTTCCTGTACAAGAACCGGCCCCTGAGCAAAGAGCAGCTGGAGAGCGGACAGCCTGCACCGCCTCCGCCGCAACATGTGATCACCGAGAAGGATCTGGTCAAGTTTGCCCATCAGATAGCTCGGGGCATGGACTACCTGGCCTCGCGTCGCTGCATTCATCGCGATCTGGCGGCGCGCAACGTGCTGGTCAGTGATGACTACGTGCTCAAGATTGCGGACTTCGGACTGGCGCGAGACATACAGAGCACGGACTACTACCGGAAGAACACAAACGGGCGCTTGCCCATCAAGTGGATGGCTCCCGAGTCGCTGCAGGAGAAGTTCTACGACTCGCAGAGCGACGTCTGGTCGTACGGCATTCTGCTGTGGGAGATCATGACATTCGGAGCCCAGCCGTACCCGGCCATCATGTCCGCCGAGGAGCTCTACAGCTACCTAATGTCGGGGCAGCGCATGGAGAAGCCGGCGAAATGCTCGATGAACATTTATATCCTGATGCGGCAGTGCTGGCACTTCGATGCCAGTGCCCGGCCGCCCTTCACGGAGATCGTCGAGTACATGGACAAGCTGCTGCAAGCCAAGGAGGACTACCTCGACCTGGATGTGGCCAATTTGGAGACACCGCCCTCGACCAGTGATGAGGAGGAGGAGGAMGCTTCCGACATGGAGCAATCGCGGTACCACTACTAGCCGCGAGCTAACGACTTCCGATCGATCCATCGACCGAGTGATCTACATAACTGTATATACTGAGCTCTCCTGGGGCTACCTATGATAAGTCTGTAGAATTTTACTGCACCAAAGGCGTAAACCAAAAAATATTATATCTGTATAAGTCTACAAAAATTTCTATATATACCTATTTTTTTTATAAGGATTAAGTTTTTATTGTGTAAATTTTCATCTTCAAGTTATCTAAAGCTTGCTTGATTTAAGTCAGAGCATTTGCAGGAGTTTGTCAGCTTCAATACTGGTCGAAATACTTTAACAACAAACGGTTGCTACAAAGAGTTTAAATATCGAAATATTTATATGTATTTAGCTAGATAAAGTACATTGATCAATTTCACGAGCAGGAAACTCAAATACTTGAGTGCTCTATTGTAAATGTGGTGAATCCGAAATGTACAATTATTGAATTCTGTTCTGTACGGTTTAAGAGCGTGAGCGAGAGGCAAACTGAAATTATTATTGCATTTAATTTGTAAACAAATAATTTAATTCAAAGGCTATTTTAATTCCCAGAACACATTTCTAATGGAAACTCAACTCAATGAAGATGAACTTTTATATATATTAAGCACAATTTACAGTGCAATGCGTAGTACGTATTGCCAAATCTAAGAATATACCTATAAATAGAGAGAGAACATAGAGAATAGCCAGAAATTGAATAGAAATTAGGCTGCAGCCCATAAATAATTTATCTAACAATAATAATCGTAAGTTAGCTTGTAGCCTATGGTTGTATTTGCGTATGTTGTATTTGTATTTATATCTGTACTGATTCTATGTAGTATTCACGTATTTAAGCTAAAAGTTGAAGCGTATATTTATCGTAAGCCATACAGCTTATAGCATGCATGCTAGTGCCTTATATGAACAATAAATGTTGTACTCATAGTATAAAACCAAAGATCTTTAAAATGAATTCAAAAGTGTCGAACTCTAGTTCAATTTGATGAATCAGTGCAGCTCATCATGTTGTTCACACATTCTGTTAGAGTCGTCCATGAATGATACTTATTTTTCGGAAAAATATTGTGCGAATTGAGTATACACCGTTCCGGGACTAGTGAACAGCTCATTAAATCATCATAATCAGATGAGAAATTCAGAGTTAAAGCATATCATTCAAGAAAGGTCAAAGGATTGAACTGGAATATAATTGTTAGATGTTAATCTTAATGAGTTGTTCTACGGAACTAGTTCCCAATGTGCAACTGAACAAAATCGTTCATTGTTTACTGAATTTTTTCAATCGAACTATGCTACGATTAACTTTCGATACGTTACCCCTCCAATGCATAACTGACCAAGACCAAGACCAAGACCAGCACCAATATCGAGACCAAGACCAAACAAAAGCAAAGCCGACCAAGTCATGACGTCTCAATTTGAAAATCTGTGTAAAAATGATAAAAGCAACAACAAAACCTGTCGATTTGGGCCGCACGAGGCACGTGCGTCACTAAACGAAAAATGATGAATGGAACGGCGCGACTGCCAGAAGGAGGGCGCGGGTGGGTGGCAGGGGTGCGGCGCGACTTGAACCCTGGCTCTAAAGTAGCGGCGTCCGCGTTGGCGGCTCGTTTGTTGACGCGCCAAATGCCACAAGCAACGGCGTCGACGTCGACGTCGACATCAGCGTCGGCGCAGGCGCTGGCGATGCAATTAGACGATAATGCAAGCCAAGTCAAAGTAGAAAAAAAGGTTATATATATGTAGTATACATATATATATATATGAAATGAAATAGGTTTTTGGTTTCATTTTGGGTGTATTTGCAATGAGTTCTGTCCCAGCCGGTGGCTGCGGGGCGTTTGGTGGCCGCGTTGCTTAAGCGGCTGGCTGGGCTCCATCAGCGGCGATTGCAACATTGCAAGATATGAATTCTGTGGCAATTTAAATTAAAATCTGCACACGCTGCAATATATAATAAAAAATTTAACATTTTGATTTTGATTGGCATTTTCGTGTGCAATTAATCTTTTCTCGAAATTACAATGGAAGTTACTTTTATTGAAGTTTCCGAAATGATTTTTATTATAATA